GAGTTAGGGAGACCACAGGTCGATTGCTTAGGCCGATCCGCAGGCCAAGCAAGCAAGCAAGCGTCCAGATGGACGGGCACCCTGCCCCAGCATTGCCGAATTTTTTAGGAATAATCGTGGTCATTATACTTTTTTTTAGAATCAGTACAATCTTGGTCATTATACTGGTGGCTGATCATTTCTATGGAATCTTTGGGACGATGGGCCAGCAGCATTCCACATCCATCTCAGCTTCACCGGCCCAATTCAACCAGTCCAGCCTTGGTATGTGTAGCAGTAGACAGGCCATGTAAACCAAGAAGGCCTTGCCAAATTTTGGCCGATGAACCCACGCGTCGCTGTACAAGGAGCGTACGATTTCGTCCGAGGCTGCGCAACCCTGCTGGCGTACTATTGACCAATTGTAGCGTTTGAGGATGTCTGGCATTCTGGCGTCTAGCTGGCCTAGTACATCGTATTCAAAGCAGCCTTTGTTTTGCATCCTAGCTGCTGGAGTACAAAAAAAAAAGCGAGGACCAGTAGTAGTTGTGTCACTGTTTGTTTGCTGAGTAGATCTGCAAAGCTAATTGGTGAGAAATTTAATTCTCTTCTCTAGCTCAACTATTGCGTAGTCCATATATCCAACCACCTCAGCGCAGCACAGGGACCTCATAATCCATGGCCGCGCCATGCTCCTCTAGGTAGCCAGGCCCGGCAGCGGCAGGTCAACTCGCCGGCCGGCCGGCGTGGCCGCGCTACCATGCTCGCCGTGCGACGGTGAGAACGGTGGTCGGCCATATCGTGTTCTTGCTCTCGGTAGCCACGTACGTCCCTCCCTCCTACTCTTCAATTCAAATGGTGAAACTTGTTCTATGTTTCGGCGTGACGTTGTTTTTCATATCCTTTTTTCCGTTGTCCACATCTTTCTTTGTTTTCCACCTTTCGCCTTGTATGTGCTTTTATTTCTCGCATGCTTTGGGCTAGCTACTAGATGTACTAGATATGATAGAGGTTTTCATAGTTGAGTTTTAGAAACTGATCGTCCTACTTCATCTGGTGGGGAGATGAGGCGGGGAGGTGTGGGTTTATATAGCTTTCTACTCAGGGGGCTTTTCCTAAGTAAAGTAGAACATGAAAGGAGAAGTAATTTGTAGCTAACACTTGGACGAGAAATTGATCTTTGACGAATCTCATCAGAAAGGAAGAAGAGACAGATTGAAGATTAATCACTAATAGAGCGTGCAGAATTGCTGAGACGACCAGAGATAGATCTAAATCCAATGTCAACGCCTCAAACAACGGTGGGGTGTGGTTTTGGTCTTCCGTCTTCCCCAGGAAAGAAGTGGGTGTGGTCGTGTCACGTGCAGCCCGTGCAGTGCCTGTGGAGCGATAAAACAAACAAATGAACCCATCCCCAAAATGCCCATCTTCAACGCCAAAAGCCCAGGCCCATCTTCACTACAGAGAAGCCCACGTGATACTTTAGGCAAAAAGCCCAGGCCCGCATATATACCATTGCGGCCTTGCGGGCTCCAGGCAGCCCGCCTTCTTCCTCTCCTGCACGGTGGTCAGCGGGGCCCCCGGCGTGAACCGAGGAAAGCGACAGACTAACCGTACCATGCATGGCTTGCTTTGTTTTCTCGCGTGCTCTTCTTCTTTCTCAGTTTCTCTTGAGCAAACTGAAGATTTCTTTCCTTCTTCCTTTCTTGAAGCTAGCTAGCTAGATCGCCTCCGCGCATGCAGTTTCAGTCTTGAAAACTCAGAATTGCCATTCTTGAAGCTAGCTAGTAATATCGCCTCCGAGCGCAGTTTCAGTCTTCAAAGCTCGAAATTTCGAGGTTCCGAACTTGCGATCGATTTTGGAAATCCCGAGTCAAATCTCAGATACTCTGAAGCCTGCCTGTGTTTTGGTCAGCAACGACACTTGTATAGAGAAGAGATCTCACAGGACCTGTATGCATGTCTTGATGATTTCAAACCCGAATTGAGAAGCCAATATGTACTTAGCTAGAGAAGACGAATGGAGGAAAGCGACAGACTAATTAACCATGCATGAAAAAAAATACATATGTACGTGTACGTACTATAGTCTATAGCAATACACTAGTACGTACTACTCCCTCTGTCATGTAGTACAATGTATTTTAAGAATTTTAAGGTAAATTAAGAGAAAACATAAAAGACGCATGTATTCTTATTTTATTTCTTAATCAGACACTATCATTAACGTGGTTAATGGTGATTATTGATAAATGGAAAGTATTTAATGCAAAATTAGTTTTTTTTCCTCTAAAATGCATTATATTTGAGGATAAATTTTGAATGCTAAAATGCACTATATTACAGGACAGAGGGAGTATATTATTACTGCTTATTACATGCATATATAACAAGCAATTACGACTTTAACTAGTTAGTTAGAGCAGCTATCCTAGCGACAATTCGATCGATGTATAATAAGGAAATAAACAAGCTAAAGTACAACGGTGCTAGTTAATTAATTGATGAGTCGCTAACTAACCGCATCAGGAGAATTTCAGCAAAACGTTGAAAGGCAGTTCCACTCGCATTGAATGAATTATGATTGCGTTTTTGTTTTGTTTCAGATGAAGGAGCAGAGGCAACAAGCATGCCTGGTACGTACGTACGCACGGTGCGGCTGAAAGCTGGCTTGGCACGGACTCCTACACGGAGAACAAACAACAGGGGATTGACCAATCGAACACGAAGACGCGCACAACCGTACCATTGCCGAAAGAAAAGACAGAGGTGCAGGTCGATCCATGCGCAGGGCAGAAAGAATCGCGGCTGGCAGTGGCAACTACCGTGTCCCACAGTCAGTCCTACCGTCCTGCTGGCCAGCAGACCAGCACCGCGTCCGTCCCACAGCCTGCAAGCTCGGGATCCCTAGCTGCTAGTATACTGCCGGCTGCACCTGCACATATACTAGTATACTCTCCAGTTCGCTGGTGCTCACCCAAATTAATCCATCCATCTCCTCCGGCCTGATCTCTCCACTACGCGCCTGCGCTAGCTATTCTGGATTCGATCCATTTGGGTGTGTGGTGAGTTAGATTGCTCTCCTCTCTTCCTCTCTCTCTTCCCTCTCCCGATCAGGAGTACCCTAATTAATTCGATCTGCTCCTGGTCGGCCAATCGGCAGAGAGAGCTGAAGAAGCTAGCTACGGGTTTTGGCGTTTCGCTGCGTACCGCGCGTGATCGAGATCGATCGAGACGCCGACACAAGGTAAGACCGACGCCCCATCGATCCAGCATCTGAAATTTTCATACCAACTTAATTAGCTACATAAGACTTGCGCCGCCTTTTCCTTTCCTTTTTTATTCTTTTCTTCTGTTTGATTGATGGTGAGGTGGTGGAGTAGGCGGCCATGGACTTGGAGAAGGGATCGAGACGGAGGCCGCCACCGGTGCTTCTGATGCTCAAATTCCGGTCATGGCAAGGGAGAAGAAAAAGGGGCTTCGGATTTCAGATCTGTGTGTCGTCCCATCGGTATGTATCCTCCTCCCTCCCTCCCTCCTCTCTCTCTCTCTCTCTCTCTCTCTCTCTCTCTCTCTCTCTCTCTCTCTCTCTCCCTCTCAGTTTTTTTTGTTTGGATTTGATAGTCCTGCATGTAATATCACCGCTGGAAAACATGGTCTGTTTTATATGGGAAAATTTTTATCCTTGGTCTCCATTCTTTAGAAAACATTAGTTGTTTCTTTCTTTCTTTTTCTCCTCGAGCCACTCTTGTAAAACTGGAGAAATGAAAATAAAGCAAGCCTTCTCTATTCATTTTATCAATTCAATTCGATCATTTCGATATTTTTTTGGTAAATTGTTCGAGCTTAACAAGATCAGATTTGCATGCAATTCTTTGTTTTAGAAGTACATGAGCATGCTGTCTCGATTGTTTAGAAGTACATGACCGTCAATTAGTAATCACCATCCCTTTATGTGTCATCACATGAGCATGTTAAATCTTGCATGTAATTTGATTTATTTATGAGATATACTACCTTGGTTAGACTAAAGGCTTTTCGTTTAGCATATATAGATAATCTTAATCCACTTTGCTGGTGGGGTTGCTGATCATCTTGTGCATGATATCATATCTATATATGCCTCCAAAGGAAATTGATCATCTTGTAGTAGAAACTAGAAAGGATTATATCTCCCTCCACAACAAAAAATGATGATTTTTGTAACTCATCAGCTCGAGGGAATTATTGTTTTTTCAATATCAATGGTTGAACACCCTATAACAATGAGTTTTCCTGTGCATATGCTAAACATCATTCAGGCATTGAGGTATGTGTGTGTGTGCGTGTGTGTGGCGTGTGTGGTGCAACTGCGTGCTTCAGTTAAATATATATGCGACCCGAACCATACATGGATCATTTTTTCACGGAAATCATCCTAGCGGGGATTGTTAGTTCAAGCCACATTCTCTGCTTGTTAACAAGGATGTCATTTTGTGCTACATGAATAGAGCTGGTCTGGTGTGTGACAAAATACCTACTTTTAATTTGGAGGATCTGAATGAACATTCTTATGTAGTTTCCTAAAAAAAATGAACATTCTTATGTACAAAGGAATGCCTTTTTAGTTATGTGGACTTATTACTCTAAACAAACTTGAACTTTCAATTTCTCGAGTGAAAACAATAGGGCACAACCCTTCCTGTAAAAATATATTGAAAACAGAGTTTACATGTACAATAGGTGAGCAACAAATCAACCTACATATATAGAAGGAAAATTACATACGAATTTCGTTTTGGGTGATCCATATACTCCAATATGAAATTATGGGGAGATTTCCATTAAAAAATGGTGCATTTACCTTTATTTTGAGGTATGAAAGGTCATATCGATATACAAGTCTATACTACATTAGTCCTTCCTATTATACATATAAATGCACCATGATAGCAAAAATGTCAGTTATAGTATGTTTGCGTCTCTGCCATTTTTATAAGTAGGTTATTGATGGGGCTGTGCGCGTCGTCGTTGCTGCCAACATGAACCCTACTGGCAAGAAGAAGTGCCTCAGGTGCTGGCTCATGGTCACTGCCTCCGTGATCTTTCTGACCAACCATATGATCTACACTGCCCCAAAATACCAGCTGACCCCCCTGGAGCTAATAGTCATCTTCACGGTGTTCATGTGTGCAATCTTCCTTGTGTTTCGCACGATGAAGCAGATGTGATTGAGAGCGCTTCTGATCGCGTTCTTGCCTGGCCGGCACCGCAAGTCCAAAGTGCATGATGAACCAGACTCTGTGTGTGTGTAATAATAACTCCAGGATATGACGATTCGACTACTTGATGCCGTCCCAGGCACCTGGATCTTCAATTCGGTCGTTGTTTAATTATTTGCTTTAAACGTCGTCCTACAGGCATTTTATTGGGGAGTACTTGGCAACGAGATAAATATGCTGTGATTCATCTGGTTTTGCTCAACACGGAGTTATACTTTTGCAGGTTAACAAACAGCACCTTAGTAGTGTATCAAATTGAGGATATTCAAGTTTGTTATCACCACTCATATTTAGGGCAGGTACATTGCTACACGTCAGCTATCTTGTACGCTGTCTCATGCAAAGGCCACGTAGTATTCTTGTTGATGTGTAGAAAAGAGAGAGGGAAGAGAGAAAGATGTCGTTATTTCGCGAAACAACCACCTCATGAGCTAAAATTTAGGACTATGAGACAACTATTCTACCATTGTATGAGTTGTTGTTGCCATGCAACATACAACTTTACTTTTATTCTATGCATAAATTAAGGAGTTATGAGTTATTACGAGACAACTTAAAAAACAACCATTGTATATGCTATCTGTTAAGTCGCCTTAAAATTACGTGCCACTACATGAGACCTTCTCTACGAGACAAGACCAATGTACTTGCCCTTAGAGATACTACTTCCCCATCCCAAAGTATATATATAGCTACTTCTAGATTTGTTTAAGTACTTTATTTGATACATTTTGTAGGAGAAAATTTTAAATATCGACATTTAGAACACAAAATAGTATCATTGGTTCAATTATGAAATAAATGTTCTCAATATACTTATTTAGAGTCATATAGATGTTAGATATTTCTATATAAATTTAGTAAAAATATGCAATAGTTTTACCTAGGGCACACTTAGAAGTAGCTAAATCTTGGGAAGGAGGTAGTATCATTTCTCAAAAAAAATTGTGATATAACAACATTTTTTTGTAATAAAACAGGATATATATACCAACGATAGATTAACGCTCTACTACAGAAATCATTTTCAGCGACGCCCCCGTTTTCAATAAGAGGCGGTTCACCTAGCACGCCGCCTCTAACCGTGCCTGGGGCACTGTAGCTTCGTGACCGCCTCTGAAGATCCATCTTTAGGGGCGGTTCTATTAAGAAAACCGCCTCGGATAGCCGTCCATTTTCAGGGGCGGTTGCGTTAAGAGAACCGCCCCTGAAAATGGATCTTCATAGGCGGTCTTCTTTACAAAACCGTCTCTAAAAGTTTCATATTTTCAGAGACGGTTCCTTAAGAGAACCGCCCCTACAAATGAATTAACAAAGACGGTTCTCTTTAGTCAACCGCCCCTAAAAATGGCCACTCCCTGAATACCTTCTTCCTTCTCGGACAGAACGCATGATGAGCACCATTAGCTCACTTGCTGCTGCGTGTTCTTGCTTGGGAGAGCCAGAGCAGTTTTGCTGTCGGCCGTCATTCAAAGATCTTCTTCCAACGATTTTTTAAAGGTTAGCATCTTCTTCCATCCATTCAAATCTTTCATTGTTGATAATGTAGATGGTTTTTCATGCTTTTTTTAGTAATAAGCATAGAAATATTCAAATATGCGGTTTTTTAATTAGAAATAATAATGGTGGATTTTATTTTTATTTATACATCATTTATTGTTTATATGTTTCTCTAATATATATTGATGCATGGTATATTTATATGGGGATTCTATATTTATTGGGATGTTTTTTTAGTTTTTTAGTGACGATGAATGGCGGTGGACTTCCCCAACCACAGGAACCAGGTTTCCACCCTAGCGATCTTCCATTCGTGACATCGCCAAATAGGGCTGCCTGCGCTTCCCAAACCCATCAATAGTATGGAATATTTTAAGTTTTATGCGTATAATATAATTTTTGTATATATACATTCATTCATAATATGATTGTTGCATATGTCACAGACTATAAAACCGGTCAAGTGGTCGGAAGCAAGACTCACATCGCCTCAGATTCGACATCACCGCCGGTTCAAAACCCACTTCATCATTGGATTTTGAACCGACAAAGGGCATGCCGCAAGAATGTGGGGGTTGACATCACTGCCGGTCCTTAAAAACCGACATTGATCTACAGGAAACAGTGTCGGTTCCTGACTCCACCCGGCAGTGTCCAGTTGAACAACACTGCCGGTTTGTAGTTCCAACCGACAGTGACGGTTGCTTCAAGAGTGTCGGTGTCACACCCAATTTTAAGGATAAAATTGAATGCACAAAACTCGTGTGTGCCCAGGAATCAATCACACACACAAGCTGACAAATCACAATAGTATCATCACGGTGTCCCATACATCGAGTTATAATAAAACTTAGTCTTATACATCACAAATGAATAATAAAAAGATAATAAACTCTCGTGGCCGTCATCATCACAGGGAAGGTCAACTGGTTGACCACAAGCCTAATAATCCTCCGGAAATCCTCATACCAGTAGTCATCCGTTACCCATCCGGGATTTTTATCCAAGTAAAGAAAATAAACAAGTGTAAGTATATTCGGTACTTAGCAAGCTAACATGGGGTTATGAAGCTCAAAAGGTTAGACTCTACGTTTCATCGCAGCTAGCATTTTTATTAGGTCAAGCTTTTATTCTCAAGTATTATCAAGTTATGCTTAAGCTCCCATTTAATTCCCATAAGAACATATATCGAGTCATATGTACCATATATCATCACTAAATAACTTTATAAGATCATCATCAAGTATCCAGTTATTCTGTGAGTTTTCCGTGCCGCCAGAATCATGTGAGCACTACCATTATAATAGCTTTGTTACCCTCTGCAGAGGTGGTGCACATTCACCATGAGTCGTGATCCCCATATGCCCAAGTTAATTACTCCCATGTCACTTCCAAGGTGAGCGGGCGGTACACTATGAAGCCATTTCATAGGTTTCCCCTAACAAGTTAGGGCCGCTTAGGTTTCCTTGGTAGGCGATGTAGGAACCCCCTTTCCTATGGCACATATCCATCAAGCTATATACACATAGGAACAGAGGCAGCCTATACCCAACGTGGCAAGCCCCATTTGCGCCAAAAAGGTAACCTCTAACTAGCTAGAAAAGGTCCTATTACTGAGCTAAAGTCAGAGCCATATGACTCTCCCGGTTGCACTGTCAGTCCCAGCTTTTGCCGACAGATAAGTCCTTATGGAGGGCCGGGAGCAACATGAACAAAGGTCATTTGCACTTTCGCCCTATGGAACAGTTGTTATAAATCATGTTACTCACTTTGTTCCATAGTATCATTCATCAACAGGTATATCAAGTTCAGTTAGAGCACTAGCAATCTACCCATATGCATTTAACCCATAGGAGACAAGGAACAGGATAACAATCACAAGGATGTCCTTACGGGTATCAAAATTAGACACATGCAAATGAATAATTGATTAGAGTGAAATAGGACATCAAGGAAGGCCCATGCTATACTTGCCTTGGTTCACAAACTCTTGCTGGTCCTGCTGGTCGTCGAAGAGTTCTTGGTCTCCAACGTTTTCCTCACCGTCTGAACGCGACCAACACGGCAACATACAACATTCCAAAAGCATTCATGCAAAGCAAACATTCCTATCATTAGAACAGTACACCAACAGTATTGAAACATGATAAAATATTTGTAAACATATTCTACGTCCTCGCTACGATCACGCCAACGCTAAGTTCACGAAAAAACGGAGCTAAAATGCGAAAGTTATGATTTAAACGGGTTTTCCTATAGCCATATATTTAATTAAATCTAATCATGAAATTAAAAAGTTCCAAACTTGACTAACAGTAGTTCTAACATGTAGCTTATGAAATTACGAAGCTTAACGCGATTTGAATGGATCAATTCGGGGCTAAAACGACAATTTTATAAGCGAAATAGCCCAATGGCATTTCTGTAAATACTGAAAGCGTACTTTAGACTAAACCAGTGAACTATACGCTTTCAAAACGAGAATGCGTACTCGAGGAAATACGCTAAGGACGGCGGGTTCTATTACGCGAAAACAGGAGGGCTCTTTAGCAATTTGACCCACGAAGGGGTATCGGCCAACGATGGCCGTCGGATTAGAAATGGACGGTCAACAACGGATCTGGGGGTTCTTGGCTCGGTCGAACAAGAACACCGGCGAGGTTTCAACCATGGTCATGGGCAAAGAGCACGCCGGCGAGCTCGGTTAGGGGGGCTAGGGTCCGCCAAACGGGGAACTGAGGGCACCCGAGAGCTCGGGGGGAGAAGGGGGTCGCGCTCAGGTCGAGAAGACGGCCGGAGGGGAAGGCCGGGGCGGCGGCGCCATGGCCGGCGGCCGAGAGCTCGCGGACGCACCCAAAACAAGGTCTACGGCCAACGAAACGGGAAATAAGTTGCACTGGGAGAGAGAGGGGAACAAGGCGAAGCTCACAGCGGGGAAGGATGGAGTCGACGGTGGCTCGGGGAAGACGGCGACGCTGGATGGCGGACGGCAGCCTCTGAGCTCCTCCGCGCAAGCGCGCCAGTGGCGGACGAGGCGAAAATGGAGCGGGGAGCGAGAGAGGAACGCACGGGGGCTCGGCTTCGCTTAAAAAGAGGCCGGGGCGAGGGGAGGGCGATCCCACGACGCTGACGTGGCGTATGCTGCGGGCGGTTATGGCCGACGCACACAAGGGTTATTGGAGGAGGAGGGGCGGCACCGACGCAGCGGGCCCCAAGGCCGCCGCCATCAAGGAGGAAAGGGAGGCGCGGCGGTTGCAAAGAGGGTGCGCGCGACTTGGGCAAGGCGTGGAGTCATTGTCATGGGCAAGAAGATTACCTGAATCGGGCCGGCCCCAGAAGGAGAATGGGAGGAGGGTAAGAAGAGAGGTGAGCGGGCAAGAGTCGAAATGAGAGAGGGGGAGATGTTCATTTTCCTTTTATTTTCCAAACAAATTTTTTCCAAAAGCATT